ACTCAGCAAAAGGAAGAATAATTTGACATCTTCTCAGATGATTATAATTTAATTGGGGCTTCTAAACAAATAAAATATTGTTTAAGTAAAAAGTTAACTACATGAGAAATCAAATATCTCTCTGGTTATTATCACAAAAAAAAACACTTCTTATTTTATGATGCTTATTATTAAGCATTAGAAATAGATTAACATACCGCTCATAGATTTTTTTTTATAATTTTATATGAACGATACAGTATATATGTTAGTGGTTGAAGTCGATGTAAAAAAATGATTTAGCAACTTTGTCTCAAAACTCATGATTTAAATTCATGAAGAGAGAAATTAGTGGAAAATTTTGCGCAACAGCTTGAGAATCTTATAAAACTAGAATAGATAGATATTAGACAGCCCATAAACTGAAAACAAGATGAAATTGATATGCATCAATTGTACGTACCGGACAATATTGACATACATGCAATCATCTTCTTTTTGCTCGATCTCTCTCTCACTCTCTCTGATATCATCGACTGACTTCAGTAATGGAGCAAGCCGATCGACTCTAGTCAAAAATCATGCTACTTACTCCAAGTCTGTAATTGAATTAATCTGTTTTTTGGTCTCGTTATTAATATCAACAGTGTTTAGATCCTCGACAGTTGTTTCCAGCAATGAAAATTATAACTTCCACGAATTCTAGATTTCTATGCAAAGATGTCACTGGTCTACCGTCTATTTCAGAGGAACAGGGACGATATGATAGGTGCACTGTATGTACGACATTGATATTTTTATTGATTGCAAAGAAAACCAATATAAGTCGTTTGCTTATTCATCTCATATTGACGCATGACTAATCCTCTCCCTCTCTCACAGTTTCAGCTTGTTGTTAAGGTGGAAAGAACTGAAAAACAAAAATTGTCATGAAAGCATCATTGTTGATTTCTTTGACTCACAAAAGTGAATATGAAAAATGGGCAGTTGAATAAACTGATATCAACTGAACTTTCAATCCTTATTTGAAATGAACTTCAAAGAGTTTTCTGCATCGATTAACATCTCGAGAAGGTTCATCTTACTTTATGAATGATATTTGTCTGGATTTATTTTCTGTTTTTCAAAGCATTTTGCTCTTGAAGATTTTGAATAGTGTCATCATTCAGTTTTCCACTATTGGGCACTCTGAGCATCTTTCACTACAGCAAGAAAAAAAATTTGTTTCAGATAAAGACACTCGACTACCTACTATTCGAATCTTGTCAGGGGCACACTAAGCATGCAATGCAGAAAGGAAACGTTTTTTAATTTTTTAATCAAGATAATCAAGTCCATTAATAAGTACTACTGTTATTTCATTTTGATATGCTAATGCCCTATGTTGAATGGATTTTGTTTTGCATTGGTTTATTTTTTCAGATTCTTGATGAACAGCTATTTATCTGTACGACTTCGATCGATGCAAATACGATTCTCATCTTTGCTGCGTCACTGTATCCACTCCACAAGTTTATATCTTTTCGAATCTGTTTACTAGACTGCTACATGTTTCATACTTCTGAATCGTATTTTATCTCTGAAGTAGAGCGAGCGTCACACCATACGATCATTTAGGTTGTTTGTGCTACTAGTAGCAGAGTCGAATATTAGGAAAACGCCTTTATCTGGTATGTACTCTGCATTTTGCAATAGTTTTCGACAAATTCGCAAAAATAACCTCAATGAATCCTTCGTTTTGTATTTCGCTGCAGGTGCTAATTTCGTGAAATACAATGATAGTTTTCGAGCTGATTGATCAGCTTTTCAATAGAAATAACATAGCTTGCATTGTGTTGAGGTTACTTAACAAGGCCATTCTTTATGACGCATTTAGTCACTGAAGATGGTTGCATTTGAATCTAGTAATCGACAAACATATGCAAAAAATGTTTAAAAAAAAGTAAAAAAAAAGAGAGTATCTAAAAAGGAGTTACTACGTGAGCGGATAAAACCTGAAAAATTCCGGTCTCAAAGGTCGAATTTTTTTTTTAGAAAATAATTATCTCAGTCAAAATCCATATAGGAAAAAATTCTTGTCAGACTTGAATCAATACATCACATAGGCCCAATCTCAGTTGAAAGAATGAGAGTGAAACTTGCTGTAACCCTCTCCATTTATCGATATGCATGAGAATATTAAACATTGATTAATTAGCTGTATGTCTTCTTGAAGATGTTCTTTACTAGGGATGAATATACCGGTGCTGGTGTGTTGATAGTAGATGCCAATAGTTCGTCTCTAGTGCTGATCAATGATTACACCTTGGATTACAATTGCTGTGGCGGTCGAATCAAATACGAAGAGAGTGATCCTGAACGGTTGGTAAAGACAGCAAGTGAAGAATTGTACGAGGAGACACGTACTCTTCTTTCTTGTCCTCATCCACAATTGATCACTTATCCATTCGTTGATATTGCACATCAGAGAAAGGATGGTTCATTTAAATTTCGTTGCTATATCTACAAATTGAAGTGTTCAAAAGATATTTGCGAACAATTCGAAACAATTGATCTTTCCAAGATGCCTGAGGATGGTAGCTATTATGAAGCGACTAACTTGGCTTTATTTCCTATCGATCAATTTAAGAACAGAAAAACATGGTCAGCCATTAAACAAAATTTAATGGGGAAAACTAGTGAAGATGTTGAAACACGACTGAACCGACGTGTGATTGCTGTGATAGAAGCAGCACTTCAAGAGAATTTATTATAAGGACGAATATTTCGATTTCTTTTTGAAAAAATGTATCGGTATTCTACATCGTTTTGAAATCATTATCTGTGTGTGAATGTGTGGGATGGGCTGAAGCAGACTTGAAATCAGTAGAAAAATCGTTTCGTTTAACATATCAATTAAAAAACTGGTTCTTTCAAGAAAAATTGATTACTACGGCTCTATGAAGACAAACAATATGATATCATTCAAATATCTCTTGGAATTTCTAATATAAACAATTTTGATTTTAGTATGTCGCGTTTCTTATTTACTAATACTAAAGACAAATGAAGAACTCTTTCAAACCTTTGTATCTAGTAACTTTCAACAACTTATATTGAATAATATCAATACTTTATTTTGTTTGACTTCCTCCAATAAAAATATAATTTCTTTACAAGAGGCAATAAGTTTGCTGTTTGCATACTTGAAATTATTATTTAGTACAACTGAAGTACTTTCCTATTTGTATGAGGCTATTACTGCCGATAGAAATTCAAAATAAGTCAAAAAGTTCATTTTTTTCCTAGTCTTTATACTTCTAGTAGTTTTTCGAATACCTATATATATTCTCTGTCTTCAAAGGCTATCACCATTGAAATTTTACGACAGTCGGTTGATAGTGGTGCAGAATACTAAATTCAAGATATCCAGGTAAAAAATCTGCTCTTGAAAAAGTTTAATTTCTAATAACTGGTTAGGTTTTTGTGGTTTTGATGACGACTAGAAATTTGTTAATTGGAGGCTTTTAAAATCATATTTCTGTATTATTGAAGTCTTAGAAATGGATTCAAATGAGCACAATAGGCTAATTTTAGTAGCCTTAAAGTTAAAAACCAATCGGCTAAAAACTGGTGAAAGCTGGCTAACCTGACACTACAATTGTAGCGAACTGACGAACGGATGACGAAGCAGTCAAATTCTAAATCTCGTCTAGATTTACATCTACATCCTGCTTGTTTTTGCTTGCTCACAAAACAATCACGTGACACTTGAAACTGACGTTCGTTTCTACGTCAACATACGATCAAAAGAAAAACTAAAAAGAAATAGCTAAAGATAAAATTCAGTTGCTTAGCATATTTTTTTAATGAGAGCAACGACGACTATATCCACACTCTTTCATAATTGTTGTTCTGAATTTTTGACATTCATGCATTGTCATTGGTTATTTTTCTGAGATTCATGTATAGAGATAAATAAACGAACTACTGTTGTACAATTACACAACAACGACGAAAACTTGGACAGCACTCATTCAAATATTTTGGAAAGACTTTATGATCATCATTCTTTTCGTCTTCTCCTACTTGTTAGCACATATTTGTTGATCGTTATTTCTTCGTCAAATTATTTTACACATTAATAATAAACAAGAATTGTCTGCTATTGCGCATTTTTGTACTACGTAGTATGTTATTCATCTGCGCATTGATTCTCTTAGTTTCTTTCGTCTTGTAGGTTTATATAGTAAGTCTTAATGTCCTTGTTAGTAAATTTTGGAATCCAATCATCGTTTCCATACGAAGACAGAATTTGAGATGATAAAAGATGAACTTTAGTAGATACATATTCAATAATAAAGTTATTTTCATATTTATAGTGAGATTTCTTCAAAAAAATATTTACTACTCTTTAATATTTGTATCGTGATAGTTTTCATATGTAATCGATGGAATTTTTTCTAGAAATCTATTTATTGATGCGTATTCTTTTTCATTAGATAAGGATGATGACGACCGTTGAGCAGATACAAGTAAAATCGAGTGATTATTCAGAAGAATTTTTTCTAATAATTCATTATTAATTTTCTGTAGATGAGAAATACCATTTCAATAATGCAATATAGGAGTAATATTATAATACCACTGAGGTGTAGTAATCTTTGATTCTTTCTGAAACATATGAATGCATTTATTCACTTACTGTTTCAAAGTAATTTGTAGCAAGCGAATCGTTCGCCATGTTTTGTTTAAAGAAGGAACGATTAAAAAGCAATTGTCCTTGCCTTTAAGTAAATAATATTATTGTTTTACTTAAAGCTATCTTTCAACACTAGTGCAGCCAAAAATTTTCAAGAGGCTTGAGGCGATACTCTACCGGTGAGTGCATTGCTGCCGAATTAGAGGCTTATACTTGCATGAAAAAAAGACAACAAACAAAAAAAGCATATCCTTCTCAAGAAAAATTGACGGCATTTATTAATGCCATAACATTTTGAATAGTCAACGCTCACTTTCACAACACTATTCCGACTTATCAAATGCCAACGTCTAGTGCTGCAGCTAATGGTTTGTATCAACCGAAGCATCATTTAAGAAAGGTAGAGTAGTATTAATTTCAGTAGTCATCGTTGAGTCTACTCGTATGTCTCAGGTTAATCCAGAACCAACTAATAGTAATGCATTTTCAAATGGGGATGAGATTGAGGATATTCAATGGGCTGAATCATCATCCATACAATGGGCTCAATCGTCATCCACACAATGGGCTCAATCATCATCGACACAATGGGGAACCTCTCCTTCAACAATAGCATTTTCAAAGTCCGCTATTAAATCCGGTTCCGTAAAATCGAACAATGGTCAATCAACTGAGAAAAAATCACCCACTTCGAATGGGTCTGTATTGTCATCTTCATCTGTGTGTCACTACTAAACAAATTGTTTTCTAAAACACTCTTCTTTCTACAAAGAATTGATCGCAGTGATGCCATCTCCGGCATCATAGCATGATTTCAGGATCAGATAATGCTGAAATTGAATTTTGATGTACCTACTTGAGTTTGTCAAAAAGATTAATCTTCTTTACTACAACAGCAGGGATTCTTGAAAACACCTTCTATACTCATTGCTGTAGTAGAAATTAGATTTCTCACCAAGAAATATTTCAGCTAATCGATTTTTTTTCATTTTTTTTTCTTGACAATCATATTTGTGCTCATGAAATATCTGATGCTGTGATATGTTCTCAGCAGAATAAGAGAATGACACAGTTTCGAATATGAATTTTCTTATTCGTTTCAATCTCGAACCAGAATTGTTACTGTTAGACAAACAAACAAGAAAACATTGATGGACTAAGATGTTTCAGATAAAAACAATCTAATTACACGGTAAAAAGGTTTTATACAAAACTTAGAAAATATGTCATCAGAGCACTGAACTTTTAGAATTGGAGACAAAACATTTTTTAAGTTGAAGCTTTCGTACCAAATCTCACGAAAATTCTTCTTGTATATCCGTGTGAAGAATAACTTCTTATTCGGAGTATAGTAGATTGTGAAAAACGAAATATGAGTTACAGATAAATATCTGATTGGTAGGTGCTCATACAGTAAAAGTTTTGTACTTTTTTCATCTTATTCAGCACGTGAAAATGTCATGAAAAACGATTTTCATGCTAAGGAATATGCCTAAACACTTTTCTGCCATTTGCTGAAGTTCTTTTAGCATGTAAATAAAACTTTTTACTGCAATAAGTCTGCAAGAAGTTGTAAAAAACGTGTTTAAGCATTTTGTTGACATGAAAGCTACTTTTCGTAACATTTTTGCGGACCAAATGAGGTGAAAACGTACAAATACGAGCAACAATTGCGTGTTAAAACGGTTCTTTCAAAATTGTTGACTGTTTGGCTGAAAAAACTAATTAATAAACTTATTTCCTCAACCACTTGACCTCTTCTAACAATATAGAGAAACGAAAACGTGGTTGCTTGTTGTATTAGGTTATCTGTCACCTAACAACGTAAAATGATAGCCATAAAAATGAGTCATTTAAACTTGTTGAATATTTATTTCGCTTTTCTTGGAAAAATCTGACGATTAATAGAAGAGAATTTCTTCAAATGTTAGATGGTGTGTTCCTTATACTAACCGGACTTCAGCATAACCTGCTTTCTTTTCTGTTTATTCCTCAGTTTCGTATTCCAAAAAACATTAGGGACTTTCATGAAGAACTCTAACTGAGAGTCAGCGAATAGAAACATGTTTCGATAAATTTGTGTTTTGGCTTGTTGTTAAGCAGTACCATAGTGCCAAACAGTACTGATTTTTTTCCGATATATCAACTGATATAACAAAACCAATATCACCAAGGAATATCAGTGTATAATTTTATGCTGGTTTATCTTTATTATTGAGTACTAGTATTTGAAAATGTTTTACAATAACCATTAAATTGTGTCTATATAAACTAATAGAGCTTAAGTTATTGATTACAAGTGACTAATCGAAAATCGAATAGAGAGCTCTGAAGAATATGACTCACCTTTTGGCTAAGAAGATTTTAAACGTTTTGTGCTCTAAATCTATTTGAAACAAATTTAAGTGAAGCTGAAGTAATTAAATAATCCTTTAATCAATGATCTACATTGTTATTCGAATATTGACAGGAAAAAGCCATTGGTAAACGAAAACGATATGAATCCAAAGAATAAATCATGTTGGAAAAAATCTCACAGAATGAAAGTACCACTAGTTTTGATCAAGTAATCATTATGTCAAATCGAATTTTTCATTTATTTGTAGATGTGCATGTTGCTTTTGCTCACCATTGTGCTGTCTTCTTTTGGGCTTGCTACTACTATTATTAGTCGGTGGTGGAGTTGCAGCCGGAGTTTTGGTTTCAAATATGAAACGTAGGACACAAATAACAACACAGAACAATACTAAACATAACGTACACAACTTATTAGATTTCATTTCATTTATTATCATTTAAATAGCATCTTCATCATCAACCAATTCTACCATGACAACAATATCATCTGCAACAAGTAAGATTCATCCGCAAACTTTTATCATATTGATGAATTCATTATCATCATATGCATAGACACTACAACAGTAACCGCAGCGACAACTGTTAATATACCATCTTGTAAGTTTAAACTATAATTCAGGGAGAAGACAATTATTTCATATTAATGTGTGTTGAAATACAATTAGCATTATGCAACACAGTAATATTGAAATATATATAAGAACCAGAGATGAGCACAGGACGGGGCGATGCGGCTGTCCTGTATCCTGTCCTGCAGGACAGGACGATACTAAAATTTTTGTCCTGTCCTGTCGAGCGGCAGGATAGAATTACACCGTGCGGTGACCAGGGCAGGATGAAACTAAAGTTCCTGTCCTGTCCTGGTGAGCGGCAGGATGGAGTTAACACAGGACAGGACAGGACTGGATGGGAGATGTTGTCCTGTAGTGATTTCTGATACTTATTATCGTTAATAACAGTTGATATTCGCTATCAGTGATAGATATCATTATTCTTTAAATGAAGAAGTGCAATCATTTACGAATTGGCCGATAAGATGGTCAAATCGGGAGGGAAAAAGAAAATATGCATAACAAATGTAAACACTGTATATCTATTGTTCTTCGTTCTCTTATCATAACATCGACATCTCGTCTTTACTTTTACTTCTTTTTGAAAGTTTGTTTTGTACTTTCTCAACAAAAGAATACATAGACTTTATTGAAATATTTTCTCATGAAGAAGATTCTTTCAATTCAGAAAAATTAAAAGTTCTTCTGCGGACAGACAACTAACTATACAATTATAAAAAATCAGCCAGCACTAGCAGCGTGACCACTATCTTGGTGGAGTACTTTTGGCTTTCCTGCGAAATTAGTGAAAATAATCAGTATAAGCGGATTATGGATTACGTTAGTTGCTTCAAACGTCATCAAACATTTGTTTATTCTTCTAAAAGTGGAACAACACGTTTAAAAGAACATCAAAATGAATGTACTACAGAGATGAGCACAGAACGGGGTGGTGCGGTCGTCCTGTATCCTGTCCTGCAGGACAGGACGATACTAACATTTTTGTCCTGCACTGCCGAGCGGCAGGATGGGATTACACTGTGCGGTGACCAGGGCAGGATGAAACTAAAGATTTTGACCTGTCCTGCTGAGCGGCAGGATGGGGACCAATAAAGGACAGGGCAGGCCAGGACGGAAAATGTTGTCCTGTGCTCATCTCTGATAAGAACTGTAATTTTCTTCAAATATAACATCATTTTAAAAGTACTTCACTAACATTTCTAGAAGAAAAAACGTTGAAGTATACAAATCAAAAAGTTTAGACTTTGTTTAAATTTAAATGTTAATATGCTTGTCTTTTGATTCAGCCGTATTGAACAACAGCTGCACGGCAATTCTCACTGGTACGATCATTACTCTACTTTATCTTTCAAATATGGCACCATTTTCTTTTACATACTATCAATATTTATATGTTGCTACATCGACTAATACAACAATGATGCTGGCTTTTCGTCAAGATCCTAACTATTGGTGTCTAGATGATATTTCAGTCGAATACAACGGAATGCAGATGTGGCAAAATGGTGGTTTTGAAACGAGTCCATTAACTCAATATTATACTTACTGTAATCCGAGTGGAGCTAGTGCTAGTGGTACCATATCGGCATCATGCTCTCATTCCGGTAGCTATAGTTTCTACGATGGTGCAGTAGGATTTTCAGATTATCTCAGTCAATCTTTCACAACAGTGATCGGTGCAAGCTATAACATCAGTTTTTGGCTGGCTAACCAAGGCAGCACTCCAAATAGTGCCCTAGTCATCATTGGCTGATAGATCGTGTAATCCAAATTTAGCTTCAACAATACATTTTTTTGTCGATATGATTATATTAAAATCGTATTCGTTTTTTTTTGTGCATTGCTATTAGCATATATATATATATATAGGGGTGACAAATTTGACTGATACCCCGGTTTGATACAGTCCTATTGTAAGGATAAAACCTACTATTGTCCGGGCCATATAAGAGAGGATTCTACATAACCCTGGATTGGCCCGAACAACACCATGTTTTATCCTTACAATAGTAGAGAAACGCTACCAGACCCCACGATAAGGCTGGCAGCGTTTCTCTACTATTGTAAGGATAAAACATGGTGTTGTTCGGGCC